GCCCATCAATCACCTGATGGCAATCAGGAGAGACACAGAAAATACAGGGTAGGAGTTTTAAAAAAAAATCACTACATAGAACTTACTATGACATGCAAAGCACTTTGTGTGCATTAACTCATGCAAATTCGCAACAAATCTTTTAAAAGTATTCTTAACCCTATTTTATAGAAAGAAAACGCAGTCACTGAGAGTTTCATAGCTTGCCCATCGTCAGTCAGCTGGTTGACAGCAGAGCAGGGAGTGGAACAGGGGTGATCTGGCTCCAGCATCTGTGCTGTTGTCACCCACCACACTGTTTGTCTTGGAAGATCCTTGCTGGGGATCCCATTCTGCCATCCTGGTACCTTGGAGGAGGTGGGCCTTACATAGTAACTGCTGCCTTCAAGATCCGAGAGCAGGACAGAGTTTGAGCTGGTGCTAAAAGAAGACTGGGCTGGGGCTTGTGGAAGAAATACTCCCCAGGCCACCATAGCACAAAATGAAGAGGTCTGCTAGTCTTCTGGTTCTTAATTGAGACAGATGTGGGGCAAGTATCTTGCATATTACCTCTGCACCATGAAATGGCAAGAAGCAAGAAGGCACCAGGCTGGAAAACTTATGCTTGGTTTCTAGTTTAGGCTGGATCACCAAGGCATTGTGGGATGACCTTGGCAAGAAATTCAAGGCCTCAGGTCCCTAGATATCATAATATATGAAGGTTGGATGAGAGGGGGGCAAGCAGGAGGGAAAGGGATATAGTGAAGGAAGAAGGGAGGGAGACTCAATCTCTTTCTCTGTAAACATGTAACCAGCTTTGAAGATCAATGAACCTTAGAGCCAAGCAACACAGATTGGGAAGTATTAATCACGGTCATGACGGGGAAGACTTGGAACATTAAAAAGAGGTAGAGAGATAGACAGCTACCATCAAGTCAACTCCGATCATGGCAACCTTATGTACAAAGGAACGAAACATTGCCTGGTGCTACATCATGCTCATGATCACCAGCATGTTCAAGTCTACCCTTGTGGCTATTATGCCAATCCGTCTCACGAGGGTCTCCCTCACCCTCGTTGGCCCTCTACTTCACCAAACATGATGTCCTCCTCCTGATGATGTTTCCAAAGCAAGTGAGTTGGACAATGTTCTATTGTGATCCATAGGGTTTCAAATGGCTAATTTTTGGAAATAGATCAGCAGGTCTTTATTCCTAGACAGTCTTAATCTGGAAACTCCACTGAGACCCATCCATCATGAGTGACCCTGCTGATATTTGAAATACTGGTGGCATAACTTCTAACATCACAGCAACATGTAAGCCACCACAATATGACAGACTGACAGACAGGTGGTGGTTAAAAGAGGTAACTGGAGTTTAATGAAGGGCTATCTACAATTAGAAGTCCATGGATGGTGTAAAAGGAGCCCAGTTAAGCACTTGGCTGTTAATCAAAAGATCAGCAGTTTGAACCCTCCAGTCTCTCTGAGGGAGAAAGATGTGCAGTCTGCTTCTGTAAAGATTATGGCCTTGGAAACCTTATGAGGCACTTCTTTTTGTTTGTTTGTTTTTTCATAAGATCTGCAAGTTTTTATTATATATTCATTTTTATATCAAATTTTGAATTTAGAGAATATATCTCTAAACTATTTAGAAATGACACTTATAAAAAAATTTTTGAGGGAAGTTTAAGAATAGATTCAAAATTCAGAAAACAGTTCCAACATGGAATAAAGAAATGTCCAAAGTGCCTCCACCCTTCTGCATCATTTCTTTTTCTTTTTTTTTTTATTCTTTAGATGAAGATTTACAGAGCAAATTAGTTTCTCATTAAACAATTAATACACATATTGTTTTGTGACATTGGTTGCCAACCCCACAGCATGTCAACACTCTCCCCTTCTTGACCTTGGGTTCCCCATTACCAGATTTCCTGTCCCCTCCTACTGTCTCATCCTTACCCCTGGGCTGGGGTGCCCATTTAGATTCGTTTTGTTTTATGGGCCTGTCTAATCTTTGGCTGAAAGGTGACCCTCAGGAGTGACTTCAGTACTGAGTTAAAAGTGTGTCCGGGGGCCATGCTGTTGGGGTTTCTCCAGTCTCTGGCAGACCAGAAAGTCTGATCTCTTTTTGTGAGTTAGAATTTTGTTCTACATTTTTCTCCATTCTTCTCCAGGACCCTCTATTGTGATCCCTGTCAGAGCAGTTGGTGGTGGTAGCCGGGCACCATCTAGTTGTGCTGGACTCGGTCTGGTGGAGGCCGTAGTATTTGTGGTCCATTAGTCCTTTGGACTAATCTTTCCCTTGTATCTTTAGTTTTCTTCATTCTCCCTTGCTCCAGATGGGGCAGGACCAGTGAAGTATCTTAAATGGCTGTTCACAGGCTTTTAAGACCCTTATGGGGCACTTATACTCTGTCCTATAGGGTTGTTATGAATCGGAATCAACTTGACAACAAGGGGTTTGGTTTTCTTTTTTTTCTTTTTTGATGATGTAAACAGTTAGTGCACTCAGCTACTAACTGAAAGTTTAGAGGTTTGAGTCCACCCAAAGGCACCTCAGAAGAAAAGCCTGGAGAACTACTACTGAAAAATCAACCATTGAAAACCCCAGGGAGCAGAGTCAACTCAATGGCAACTGATTTTTTTTTTTCCCACAATTAACCAACAAGACTTGATAACATAACCCCCTTTCCTACTCCCATCTTCCCCCAAACAGCAGGAAAATGTTACCACCTCTAGACCTAATGGGTGAAGAAGGGAGCCGTTATTGGAACCCACTGAGAGCAGTGGTGGTAGCTGCAGCTGTAGGAGAGGAGCCACCTACAGGAGCCGAGGACTTTGGTAGAGGAATGAGGTCAGAAAGGGAGCTGGTTTCCCATCCTCCTGCCAGTTCTTCCACTGGTCAAACTCAATGGGAACCAAGGATGAAGGAGCCTGGTTGATGCTGTCCTTAACGGTCAGCCTCACAGCAGGGCATTGCAGGGCGGAGAATGGATTTGAGAGGCAAACCCAGGTACGGGGTTTATCCCACGAACTTTAGAGGACCCCCCAGAATATAACAAGAGGTCCTGCTCTCCCCTGCCCCATTCCAATCTGGTCAGAACCCGGCTTCCCCCAAAATGATACACTCTGATCTGGAGCAGCCCCAGAAGATTCCATCTGACTAACTTTACAGATTGTCCCAGTGGATCACCAGGCTGGACCACAGCTGACCTCCTGTCTTCCCCAGAGATTAAATATGGGTCTCAGAGATTAAACAATGGCCAATAATTAGTTAGAAAGAAAAACAAAGAGAGAGGAAGAAGGAAAGAGAGAAAAGAAAGTCCCAGTTGCCCCCTTTCCCTCCCACAGCAGCTAAAAGGAAAAATGTATCCAGGGGTGAAATATAATTACAAAGACAAAAAGCAGTGTCATCCCAAATGCAATTATTTTATAGCCTCTTCCCACCCGAAAGAGAAGAGTGCAGGATTCAGAAAGGACAAAGGCGATGTACTGCTTGTAGTCATAGCCAGCGTTCCTTTAAGTCTGTGTATGAGGAGTTTCATGACTGTTACGTCATTCAATCCTCATCTCCATCTCCGTAGAGGTTGTTCCCAGTTATATAAATGAGGATCACGAAGCACAGAGAAGCCCTGCGGTGGTGTGGCCAGAAACTGCTAAGACTAGATTTAAAGCTTAGACTTCCTGTTTATGTCACCTCCACGGCAAATAATCAGACCATCTCTTATTTAAATTCCCTTTGTATTGTATTTACCACTTAGGCAATATGAGTGTTCCATCTTTTTTTTGCTATTGTACTTAGTGATTTAAAACTTGGGGTTTTAGATGTTACCTCAGCTGAGAGACAATTTGATTGAAGAGGGGGCTAAATATTTCTGCTCAAATAATTCTTCCAAAAATAATTTCTGAATTCCATTTGTTGTCTGCCTATAGATTATTCTTTCTCATATTAATGAGCCTTCATTGATTAACTCATTCAGTACCTTTCTCAATGGTTTCCAAGCCTGGCTGTTTACCAGAATTTCCTGAGCAATTTTAAAGCATAAAAAAAGTTGAGTTCCTTCTCAGACCTACTGTGTCAGAAACTTCAGGTATAGAACCCAAGTATTTGTGGTTTTTTTAAAGATCTTCCTAGAGGATTCTGAGACGGAGTCAGGATTAAGACTTCTAGGGTTAAATGGTCTAGAAACAACACTTATTGTGGTCCAGCCTTGCTCTAAATGCTGTATGCATATTAACCCATTTAATCCTCACACTGAGATACAAGGTCGGCACTTTTTATGACCCCCATTATACAGAAGAGGAAACTTAGGCACAGAGAAGTTAAGTAACTTGCTTGAGGTCACAGAGCTAGTAAGTGGTAGGGCTGGGATGTGACCCCAGGCAGTCTGGCTCCAGAGTCTGGACCCCTAACCATTATGCACAACTGCCTCTCACAGATGAAGTGTCGACCTCAGGCAACTGATTGTGGGGCCCAAGTGGGTAACGGCCTGAACTTGAGAATCATTAGTATTTGTTTCACACTGATTACTGTCACTTTATTCTTAGACACTTGCTTGTTTTACAAATAAGCTGAATTGTAAATCCTGACTGCCTTCTGGTATAATCTGTGCATTTAAAATACACAGCATATGTACCTAGTGGTGAAGCACGTTGAAAGCATTCTATGAATAAAGAAGAAGCACAAGAAGACTTTGATCATAAAGTGCATGTAACATTTACATAGGTCTGATGAATAAGATGAATCTAAAGATTCACGTGCTCCATTCCCTTTGGGCCCTCCAGGATCACTAAGATGGACAGAAGGTGGGAGAAGAAAAGCAAAGGTATTCCTCCCCGACGCCTTCCAACCTATTGTACTGGCTTCTTTTCCATGAATCTTTTTCTCAGATCAACAGAAAGAACCCTCACCTTTGGTGGCCTTCGACAGACTTGCATTTCTAGCATTCTCATACAAACTCTAAGAACTCTGTGACTGTCTGATCTTTTGAGCCACTTATCCTGTTTTCCTTTCCAGGCTCCTAACAGTCCTGCTGCAACAGTCAAATCTCAGCGAGATTAATCACCAGGACAATGAGGTAAGCCTGCCCTCCCAGACAGCAGTAGAGGGAAAGAAGACCTTTCTGTTCAGCTGTGCTTCCTGATATGGCCGTCTCATAAAAGTGTACAGAGGGGATGGAGCATGGTTTTGTGTTCTTACTTTGTGTCTCCACTAGTAATCCTCAGGCAGACATTTATCCCTTGCTTGGGTGTGGGTAGCTTCTAACAGGGAAGGACTTACTACATGAAGCATTTAAGCATTTATTGTACCACTGAAATTTTGTAATTTCCCTCTGGTTATTGAGAAATAAATATTGCTCTCTCCTCTCTCCTTGAGCCCCAGAAATTTGGATAGCAAGCTATGGCTCCAAATGCTCTGTTTTTGAGTGAAAGATGGCAAACAGTAATTCCAGCCTGCCTGCTCCAGATGCCACATTATTAGTCCCAGTGATTACATTTCTGCTTCCTTCATAGTGGAAAGACAATATTGGGGAAAACTTCCAAAAAGACAATTGGGCACTCAAACAAAGTTCTTCAGGGAGTGTGGGTCACACAGTAAGTAGAGCCACCCAAGAGTAGCTTACCCACTGCTGTCGTGTTGATTGCAACTCATAGCGACCCCATAGGGTTTCCAAGGCTGTAAAGCTCTACAGAAGCAGACTGCCACATCTTCCTCTCTCGGAGCTGCTGGTGGTTTCGAACCGCCGACCCTTCGGTTAGCAGTCGATCGCTTTAACCACTGTAGCTTAGGGCATTGTTATATCTACCTAACTCTTTTAAAAAGCAATACTAATTTCCATTAGCCAGCCTGATTTATTTAACAAGCTTCTTAAAACTGATTTAAATACTTGATTTTTAATGGAATTTTTCATAAGAACAGTATGTGCTTCATCTGGCTGCATTTCACTACAAATGTTTGATAACATTAAGAAAATCTGATAATATTAAAAATTCATATGCCCAAAGATGTCAAATTACACTGTTTTTAAGGAAGCCCCCTGGCCACAGACAACAAGGTGAGGTAAGCCCCCTAACAGTTTTCTCCTGGGCTGGGCTCCTCATCTTTCTTGAGCCTTCTGATGAAAGGCCATCCTCCTCCCTTGGCTGGCTAGGCATTAACAAATACGCTAGAAAGTCCCGGCTTCATAGCCTGTGTCTGAGGTTGGACTGACTTGGTGATCACACACTGCTTACACTCCCCATATCTTTAGTGGTTTAAAGCAAAACCCCAGGGGAAAGAGGCCTGCACTTGCCTAAACTTCTGCTTTAAAAATGAGAACCAGAGATGAGGTAGCACACTCTGGTCACTCTCTGCCCATGCAGAGTGGTTGCAATTTATGTCAGCATATTGTGAACTTCTAGATTTTGGGCAAGTTGCCAACCACTTCCTCCACCTTCAACCCTGTCCTCACCAACTTCATCTCCACCCCTATATCTGGTCTTAAAGGAACGGTGGCAAATTCAGTCATTCATAACCTAAAGCTGAATTCTGCTCATAAATATCCAAATCCATCCACCCCTTAGCTGAACTAATATTCTTCAACAAAGAGATAGTTCTCTATTTTTCCCCACCTGGTAAGGTCCCTGGTTGGTGGAGACAACAAGAGTAGACAGATCTTTCAAACAGTGATAATTATCACACTTTTCAGATAATGAAGTAAATATTGGAAAAAGTCCTTGGTTCTCTCTAATGCAAAAATGATCTCTTCAAGAAGACTCCTTCTGCTGTTACACCAACATTCTGATCAGTTGGCTTTTAAGCTCAGAGGGTAGGCCCATAAGAACAAGGGCTCTCAAAAAATAGACTTCCTACACAGTGCTACTGGTTCCCCTTTGGTTCATGTCATAGAATGTCTGAAGCCCATATGAAGCCAATTACTGATGCTTGTCTGTATTTTTCATCCAATGTATATTTTTTGTCCCTGCTAGTATGAGCCTAGAAATAGGTCTAGAAGCAAAGAGGGCTGATGGTACTGGGTCTTGAGGAGAATACATTGTCTTACAAGGCAAGTACTTCAAGGGCGACCATAACAGATTCCTCAGGCAAAGCAGGGTTAACCTCCTCAGACAGGGATAAAATGGCTGCTTCTAATGGCAAAGAAGATTCAGCAAAGTTCACAGGCTCTCGCTTCATAGAGATCTGCCTGTATGTCCCCATTCCAATTTTCACTCAATACCCTCACTTTAACACTAGACACCTGTCTGGTCTTGAATTCAATTTGCATTATAATTCAGCCACTTATAAGATGAGACTGTGTGTTTGATTTTCAGCAATCTTAGTTCTGTGGTTACAGAACAAAAGGTTTTCTTTCAGGGCACATATAGAAATTTTCAGGCCATTTATGTGGCACTTGAGTGGGAAATTTGAAGCACTGAGTCCACCTTTTTCTTTCTCCACTTTGCCCAGCAAGATCAGCTAATGTCATTATACTCGTTAGTTTAAAAAAATGTTCTAAGGTATCAGACACATGATCACCCAGAACCTTGTCTCTTATAAGTATTTGATTAGGAGTACCCAGTGGTGATATTTTGCATCTCTCTATGGCCACATAACACCATGGACTATCAATGCCCTCTTTACTACTAGAAATAGAGTCATTTAAATCTAATTCAAAACCAATTCCAGAAACCTCAGAACCAATTTAGAAAACACATCCTTAAGATTCTATTCCTCTAAAACCATTCTTGGTATCAAAATCTGTGTTAGGGTTCTCCAGAAAAACAGAACCAACAAGAAATAGATAGACAGATAGATAGACAGACAGACAGATAGATAGATATACAGATCTATATCTATATAGATATTGATATTGACATCCATATATATACACGGAAAAAGAGAGATTGTGGGGTCTGGTAAGTCCAAAATCCATAGGCCAGCAGACTGGAAATTCTGGCAGGATGTCTATTTATAGTCCCAGGCAGAATCCTTCTCCCTTGAGAAACTTCAGTTTTTTGTTCTTAAGGCCTTCAACAGATGAGATTAGGCCTTCCTGCATTATGGAGGGTAATCGGCTTTACTTAAGGTCAGTTGATTTAAATGTTAATCACGTGCATATACCTCCATAGCAACATCTAGACTAGTGTTTAACCAAATGATAGGCACCACAGCCTAGCCAAGCTGTCACCTACAATTAACTATCACAGTATCTTTTCTTGTATAGAAATTTAAATATACGATATAATGAAAATAATCATTCTTGTATGCTACTGTTTTGCCTTTGGTATCGTTTTAAAGAAGTCCCTCCCTACCCCCAAGGACATAGCTATGTTACGCTATATTTTCTTTTAGTTTGTTACAAGATTTCTTTTTTTAATTTGGGTCCATTTCTAAACTTTCTGTTCTGTTGCAATGATCTTTTTTGTTTTCCCTATCTCATTAACCATATTGTTAAATTATGATGTGACTTATTTTGAAGCTATTCACATTAAGATTTTAACACTGTGGGAAAGGTGAGATGGGTCAGATTGCCCTTTGCGCTTTTGTTCTTTAAATCAGGACCTTAGGAGAATCATTGACACAGGGAGAGGTTTGTCTTTTGCGGCTGCAGGGAGTTAACAAATTGCTAAACTCCTGGAATCTAACCTCTCACTTTAGCTTTGACCAAAGAGCATGCTATCAAAAGGGTCGATGAGCTGTTGGCATCTGGGTTAGAACTTGGAAAGAATTTATCCAGAGAAGCACAGTTATGCATGGCATTTTGGATGTATTTTCATTCTATATGAAATGCATGTTTTAATATAAGTAGATTTTTGTGAGCTGTCTGACAATCCAAACTCCAACTATAATAGCACTTTAGAAAAAATAAACCCAAGTTCCAAAAACAGATGCGAACTTTTGGACCCAGCTCTTAGCACTAATTCCATTTACCACATTCCTAAAATATAACCAGGAGTAAAGATTATGCACTGCAAAGGCAAAATCGAAAGAAATAATCTCTGACTCTAGAAATATTTTTACTTTAGAGTTAGCAAAAGGTAAAATAATAAAACAAAATTTTTAAATGTACCAGAATTTTTTTTTTTCTTTTTGAAAATGAATACCTTGGAATGAAGTAAGATCTCTACTAAAGAGCCCTCACCTCCTCTTCACCTCCCACCTCCTCCCCATAATTGTCCAGAAGCAGACCATCTCTTTTTCATATAGGGATAAGCCTAGAATCTTGTTCAATAACTTGCACATAGTAGAAGTTCAAATAAAAATGTTAAATTCAAGAAAAAGCAATATAATTTTATGGCCTTTTCTCTCTTTGTTTTGTTGACCCAGCTCAATTACCCACTTTATTCTCCAGACTTAGAGCCCCAGGTGATTTTTAGTTATTTCCAAAAGCTACTTTCAAAAAACAAGATTTCATACCATTTAGGGCCTTAAAAAAATATACTGTAGACTATAGAACAGTTGTCCTTATCCTTTTTGGTGACATGGACACCTTTAGTATGTCGGTGAAGTCTGTGGATCCCTTCTCAGAATAATGTTTGCGATTACATAAAATAAAATACATAGGATTACCAAAAAAAAGCAATTATATGGAAATAGTTACCAAAATATCTTTTAAAAACAAATTAGTCATATAGTAATATTATAGACAAGGTTTTTTTGGGTTTTTTTTAGTTGATTAAATAAGATTTAGTGGGAGGTCCAACAACTACTGTAATTTTGAAGTAAACAGTGTTTTGAGATATTTGCAATAACTAAGGTGATATGAAAATATCTGTGATTTATATTAGTGGCAAAGTCATAGGTACCACTAATACTGATGTGAGTTGTTATCTACCTTCATAATTGAAGAAGATGCTAAATTTCAATTAGAAGAGAGGGAAAATAAGGATGTAATTTATTACATCAACCAAGTTCACACAACGCCTAAGAGTCATCCATGGAAAGAACCCCTGTTCTAAAGATAATTTTGAAATAAATCTTCCAAAAACATTGTGAGCAACAGCAGCATGAGTGAAATATAACCTCTTAAAATGATCTACTTGGCATAAGAAAATAGTCACTTTCTTCATTCAACAGATATTTATTAAGTACCATCCATGTCCCATGCAGGCTTGGTCCCTGCTCTAACAGTTTGCAATTTAGTGAAGAGTAGAGATGTTCAGTAAAAAATTATTGTAACAATTATTCTAAAGACTTTGTTTTGTTTGTTTATTTTGAGACTTTGTTTTGTAAGCTTGTTCTTGTTAGAATGTGCTCCTCTATTCCTAGGACCTAAGTTCATTTTATTTTTTTCTTGTACTTGTGTCTCATTTAAATTATGAAAACCTCCACTCCCAAGAATTTTATTTTTTATGTCAAATACATTATTTTGATAATTATTGTAGTGCGAAAGTGAGAGATTTTTAAAGATATAATTATTAGTAGAAATTCTTGTTGCCCTAAAATCCAACCTTAGATTATTTTTGGTCTATGATTATAATTTTTGGCTGTGTGATGTATACTGTTTATCTAACCAGATTAGAAAACTTCAAAACAAAGACAATGAATTAATTTATCATTTTTTTCTGATCAACAAACATAAAGTTTTTTTTCCTCAAATAAAAATAAAAGAATACAGCAGAATGACCATACTTCTGACACCACTCACTGTTTTATAAATCTCTTAAAGTACATCATTCATTCCAACTTTTGTCTAGGAAAGACCCTCTATAACTTTTGTCCAGGTGGATATATGTTGTTGGGGGATGAATAGTATGTGAATTCTGAAAAATCAACGAGACTCAAGCTGGACTTCTGTGAACCTCTTATCTAGAATTGTTTTGCTGCTTTCTCAGCCACCTGCTCTAATTCTATCCCTCAGTTCACAGAGGCGATGGATGCACCAAGCAAACGTTTCTTCCTTTGTGCCTTCCAGTGTTGGCTGGTGCCATTCTAAAAATGTGGTTCTGAAACATGAAACCTGCTAAGCACTAAATCAGATTTCTGGTGCAGAAAACACAAAAGTTACAGTGGTTTTGGGAAGAAAAAAAAAGTTCTGAGGCGCTCATGAGACTGGTAAACCTTTAACTGAAATCGTGGTGGCACAGGCTCAGGGCACAGAATTACTCATCTGCAGAAGACTGCTGTTGCAAAGCAACCCTACTGTGCACCTAACAGTTACAACATAGACTTAATTCTGTCAGCAAAGTCAGAATGGATCCAAAGTTAACTAAAACTTAACATTTTCCTTCGAAACCTTTTGGAGATCTTATTTTCTTGGCTGAATGTGAGTTACTCCTCCCTCTTTGGGCCAATATTTTTTGTTTTTCCAAAAAGTCGATGTCTTAGTTACCTCATGCTGCTGTCACACAAATACAAGGCGGCTTTAAAGAACAGAAATTTATTTTCTCACAGTTCTGGAAACTAAAAATACAAATCAAAACCTCAGTCATTTCAATTCCTTTCTTGTCGGTAGCGCCAGGCGTTCCTCAGTTCCTTTGCTTGTAGACCATCTTCACAGGCCCTCTCTCTTGCCTGGCATGTGATGTCTCTGTGTCTAATCTGCTCTATAAAAATAATTCAGAAGTGATTAGATTTAGAGCTCACCCTACTTGGGTATGATCTAATTAATATAGAAAAGAAAACTCTATTTCCAAACAGGATTATATCCACAGGTTTAGAAGCTAGGAAAGAAATAATAACATAGGATTCCAACACATACTTTTGGGGGCACTATTTAATCCATAAAAGTGGAATTCTCCTGTCACCAGGGCCATCTGGGTGTTTGTTGCAACATGTCTGCAAGTGACTTGCTGTTCTTAGATGCTCTGAAGGCCCAGTTGAGTCCTCAATGAAGTGCAAGGGAGCAGCTGGTAAGAAAGATCTCCACAGTTTAGGTATAAGTGGCTGATGTGCACACAACAGACTCTGATACATTATGCTCCCCATGAGTCCAAGGCACTCTTGATAATCTTCAATTCATTAATTGATTCATCCAGTGAAGATTTCTGGAGCACTTAGTATGTGTGCTCGGTGCAGTGGGGCATACCACGGTGAATATGCCCCTAGCCTCTCCCTTTAAGTGCATCACAGCTAAGTAGTGATCTCTGTCACTGCTCAGGACAGATGCCAATTGCCAAGCCTGAATTCTGTCCCTTAAACACTCATCAAAATCTCAACACAATGGAACTATTACAATGCCTCCAGCTCAACAGAAGCTGAAGGAAGGAGAAGGCAATTGTAAGAAAAAGTTTCCAAATAAAGTGTATTATGCAATACCCAAGAGCTGAACTTCAGCTGACTTTGAGAGTTTTGGTATTCATATTACCAACTGTAAAAGGATTTATTTTTATTTGTCATTAGTCCAACTGAAAAAAATAGCAGGAAATTTCCCTCAACTTGAATGGAGGTTTGCAACTTGTTTATATTGTAAAATTCTTTACAGAAGTAATTCAAAGCTTTGTTTGGGGCCATTTGACAGTCAGTTATTTCTAGTAATGCTCCCAGATTACAGTGGAAGAGGAGTGGGACAGGAGGAAAATGTATATATAATTCAATACCTTACAAAAGTATTTGCCGGCTGCACTTTTAGGAAGAGCCTAGAAGCGATGCCAAATGAAAGAAATAATAACATACGGTGGCAACCCTTACAATAGTGAGAATAGCCATTCTAGGAAGTGAGAAAACCCTGAATCACAAAGAAAAGATTTTTCCAGCATTTGAATTAATTCTCAGAATGAAAGTCTACCAGTATAACGGTGTGGATAGAGCATTTTTCTCCAGAGTTAGACAGACCTCGATTTGAATCCCAGCTCTGACCAGTACTTAATCAATGGCCTTAGGCAAGTTACTTAACCTGTCCTTGTTTCAGTTTCCTCACCTGTCAAATGAGCCTTAAAATACCTACCCCTTAGGATTGTTGTAAAGATTCAATGCGATAACATAGATAAACCTCTTGGCACCAAGTCCGTTCATAAAAAAATGTTAATGCATCCCCCCACCCTACTCCTTTGCCAAAATATGCAGGAGTTAGATTTGTTTTTGTGTGTGTGTGCGCTCAGGCGTGTTGGGGGCGGGGTGGGGGGGATTGTTTTGTTTTTAAGAGAATAATTCTTGAAGCCTAGCAACTGTGTTTAGGAGACAAGAATTAACATTGCATAACCACAGTTTAATTCACAGCAACATTTTCACACTGAATATCTCACATTCCTAGACAGTATCTCCTGCCATCTACCTCACCTTTTGACAGAAGTACAAAAGTCAAGATAATTTGGGGCACCTGTCAAAAACTCTAATAGGTTTCAATTGACGAGTTGATAACAATGATCCTATCAGACAAGTTCATTCTCTATAAAGGAGAAGTCACGTTCTGAATTTCCTTCTTGTGTGTGATTACGAAAAGCAGTCAAATTTTATAAAATTAGAAAAAAAGTGATGTCATTTATTTATTCATTTAATAAATATGTATTAATTTAATAAATATTTACTTAGCATCTACAATGTGTCTGGCCCTCGTGTAGGCTCTAGGGATTGAGACAGGCGGACAAGAGCCCTGCCTTCATGAAGCTTAGACTCCAGTGACTTCAACGTTAATTCGATGTCTGTAACCCTGAGTACTGATGGCATTTCATGATAAAGTCAATGACTCTGAAGCAAATGGGTTCAAAAGTGGGAAAAGGGTAATTCATGAATAGTAAAAAAATCTGCTTCCCTTGAGTTCAAATTTCTAATTCCAGTGGGCCAAATTAAAAAATGAAAAGGACCTACTGAAATACACAGCTATTTTGAATCCCAAGTAAATATTCAGCTGTCTGGATAAGAACAAGAAGTTCCACTGCTTTTTGACCCACATTCTTTTCCATATGAGGCCAATTTCTTGAAATATCCTCAAAGAATATCTCAGGAGGTTCAGTATTACATGGCATTTGAAACTTGAAGCTTGAAAACAGACCTTAATTAAATGGTCTAAAATACAGAACTGGTCAAAGGGCATTTAACATTTAAATCTTAGCCTCACTTGACAAAATCCAAACGTCCCACAAACCTCAAACCCTAGATTCAATTCTGTGCTCACTCACAGCCTTAGGAACTTCTCTAGAACTCAGCTTCCTCTTCTATACAATGAAGACTTGGCTAACTGCTATAGCAAGCAACTCAAAATCTTAGTGGCCTGACATAATGAAAGCTTATCTCTTGCTAGTATCATAGTCCAGTGCTGGTAGAGGGGGTGGCCCTGTTCTACCTCACTAATTAGGAACCCAGGTTTTTTCAGTTACATGGTTCCACCATCTTCTAGAGCTTTGTGCTCCTCTGCATTCAGCTGACAAATGAAGGAGAGAAGGCATGGAGGACAGACAGGAGGGGTTTTGTTTTATAGGGTAGGCCTACCTGCATGTGGCTTCCATCCCCTCCATCCACATTCCAGTGATCAGAACTCAGTCATGTGACCACACCTAATTGCCCAGAAGCTGGGAATGTAGTCTCTCTGGGTGTTCTGGAGGAAGAGGAAATGGACTTTGGTGGACACAGAGCAGGCTTCTCCACGGTACTTAATCCAGAAGATTGTTTGGAGGATTAAATGAGGTAATACATATAGGAACTCATAGAAGTCTCTGCATTAATAAATATTAGCTCTGAGCTTTTATTACTGCATTCCAGGTAGGCTGATGCCCATCTCCTCCACTCAGTTCATCTTGGACAGAACAGGGAAGGCCAGTTTAGTGATGCCTATCTTTATGTTATCTGCAGGGATAACAAAGCTGCCCACACTCTTTGTCTCCAACAGACTCCAGGTCTTTACCAGGCATCTTAATCTACAGTCATCTTAGATATACTTCATGTAATTGAGAGGAGTGGGCAAGGAAGAGAGCTTATCTCTTGGGTCACCTTTTCTCATTTTATCATTAAATTTTGCCTGAAGTGTGTGACCTGATGCCCTGAAAGAAGTGAGGAGTCCCCAGTGGGGAGTCATTCAGATCTGTTCTCCAAGCTGCTGTGCAGTGATTTCTTTTAAACAATGTAAACCAGATCATGTCAGCTTTAAATCCTTCAACCTTTCATCGAATTTAGAATAAAACCCAAATGCTTCATACAGAAGGATCCCTGGTGGCACAGTGATTAAGCACTCAGCTGCTAACCCAAAGGTCAGTAGTTCGAACCCTCCAGTTGCTCCATGGCAGAAATATGTGGCAGTCTGCTTCTGTAAAGATTACAGCCCTGGAAAATCTATGGGGCATTTCTACTCCATCACATAGGGTCGCTATAAGTCAAAATTGACTCGACGGCTATGGGTTTGGTTGGTTTGGTTGGTCTTATACAGGATTTCCCCCATCCCATAGTCCCAGGATCAGCCTCTGCCTCTCTCTCTATCACTCTTTGCCTCATATCACTCTTTTCCTCTCCCATTTCATTCATTCATTTATTCATTCAACAGCTACTTATCTATCTTCTGTCCTAGGAACTGGGGATACAGTGGTAAAACGAAATCCCTGCCCTCATGGTGGGAGGTTACATTTTAGTGTGACTCCAGTCACAGGTGCTTTCCTTGGCCATACTTTCCCTGCCTTCATGACTGGTGCTTGTGTTCCCTTTGCCTGGAACCAGGACTTCGAACTTGTTCTTCCCAATTCAATCACAGCCAAGGAAGCGACACCAGAACAGACCTGAATTTTTTAAATTTTTGTGAACTAGAAACATAACCAGCACTGGAAAAATTACAGGTCAAAGCCCTGCTAGAAACTTAATCTCCCTCTTGGAAAACAAGGGCAGCAATCATATTGCATAGCAACCAATCAAGAGATTTGGATTTTACACAGAGTCGGAAACAATGGTGCCCCCCTCAAAGGTGGTGGCCAATCTCGCAGCTTTGAATGTTTGTCACTCTCCTCAGTCCTGGCAATAATCCAGTCTCCTGCATCAGGCTCCTGAATGGGCTTATTACGCCTCTTCCCAGTCTCCCATTCCAGGGTTTTGACCCATAATTTTTCCCATTACGACCCATAATTTTTCCCATTCTGATTATGGTTCTGGATCACCCAAATTTTTAAAAATCAGTCTGTTCTGGTTTCACTTCATCCACATGACTGAACTCGTTCTTTAGACCAGTTCAAAGCCCTGCCTGGAACACTTTTTCTCCAGCTCTTGTCACAGAAGCCTATCTAGAGCAGCCCCCTACTCTGTGGTTACTATAATAGCACCCTACAAGAGTCCTTTGTAGCACTTATCAGTCTGAAAAATCCTTTGGTTCATTCCTGTGCATTTATTGTCTCTCTGCCTCTACTAGAATGTAAGGCAGGGATCTTGTTTATCTTATTCACTATTGTATCCTCAATACCTATTTAAAAAAAAAAAAAATTGCCATCAAGTCAATTCCTACTCATAGCAACCCTATAGGACAGAATAGAACTACCCTATGGGGTTTCCAAGGAGCAGCTGGTGGATTGGAACTGCCTAACTTTTGTTAGCATCCTGAGCTCTTAACCACTGTGCCACCAGGGCTCCTCAACACCTATAGGCCTGGAAAAAAGCAGAAGTTCAATGAATATTAGTTGGATGAATGAATGAACAAACAAACTAAAGAGCGGCAGCTAAGATGTCTGGTGATGGCCCCAGATGTGAGCAAAGTATGGGCTCCGCTTTCTTTCCTAATAGCCTGTGCTCATCTCTGCTTTCTCCAATTGTGGTTTTGTAGGGAATGACACCACTCCACTGGGCAGCTTTCCACAACCAGCCTCAACACTCCCAAATGCTGCTGAAGAAGGGGGCAGACCCCACCCTTGTGGATAAAGACTTTAAAACGGCTCTCCACTGGGCAGTCCAGGTGAGAAACCGGCCAGATTAAATGGTGTAAATAAGAGTTATGTACGGCATGAAAGATGAAATTATCAAAGTACAAGTCTCCAGCATTGATTTGGAAGTTGTAAGTATGATAGAGCAAGTAAGATTCACTCTGCCTTTCTTCCCCCCTTTCATATCCAGAGGGGCAACAGCAAACCTGTCACTTTGGAGGACTTGTAGAAAAGAAACCCTGCCAAGATACAGAGAGGAATAATTCTAGAATATCAGGCAGAGCCTGCCTCATTGGTTATTACACACACACACACACACACACACACACACACACACACACTTTCTCTCACTCTCACTCTTGCTCTCTCTCTCTCTCTCCTTTATAATGTTTGCTACTGGCTCAGTGTCCCAGGGCAAACCTTCTAAGAATCACTGGGAAAATCCCTTTAAAGTCTTTGGACCATGACCCTTTCCTTCCTCCGAAATCCTCCAAAGCAGGGTCAGTGCAGCTGATCCTGAGTTCTGTGCTGAAAAATGATAATACTGGCTTGTTATCCTACAACCCTGTTACAGAAGGGAGTCTATATCAGTACACACAACCAGAGAAATCACAATAAGCCCAAGAAATCTATAGTCCAATGAGGGTAAAACTGAGAATAAGGTGAAAGAATGATAGTAGCTACCATGTACTGAAGTGTTTTCCATTTTCAATGGAAATTATTAACTAAGAGTTATCTACTCCCTCCTTCAGGGGAGAGCAGTAGTGTATATCTTTTCAACAAACATGCTGGCCCATGCTGCCTTTGGATGGCCTCAGAATAGGCATGGCCACTGTTTATTCCATCAGCCCGGTAGAGACGCCCTTTCTGAACTGCTGCCAAGTTCCTGGGGGGAGCAGTTTCTGCCCATGCTGACAGTGGTTTCACTCAGGTGTTTTCACATGCCAAGCACAGCAGAGGTGGGCACCTGGGACTTTCAGGGTTGATGCATGTGTGTGATGTGAGGGGAAAACAGAAATGATTTGGAAACCGCTCTGTTTCTGTCCCTTCAACCTTGGCTTCAGCTACTCTCTACCAGGGCCAGCCCCGGGCAAAGCTTGTTTTTACCATCTCCACCTGACCTGAGCACCCTATCTAATCACTTTCCCTGCTCCCCTCATTCTGCCCTGGCCCAGTCCCCTGGTGCTACCCTCTGGCTGGTCAGAGGTCACTACCATTGCAAAGTCCCCAGTACAACCTAGCTGGACTCCCAAGAAGAGCCCTATGTGTCTTGGTTCCTGGCTGAGGTGAGGGTGGCATCAGAGTCAAGGCTTTGTATATTTACCCTCATCATCACTGCATTCCCAGTCCATACATGGAAGGGGGTCAATGTGTGTGTATTCTGAAAACTCTCCCTAGGTAATTCTAACTGACATGTCATCTCTGCTCCCCCTTCCTCCACCCCCTCCACCCCCAATGTAGAGCTACTGCTTTAGACCAGAGAGTTCCAAGCCTGGTCTTGTAGCAGAATCACTGGCACTTCTTGTACAATGACAGATTTCCCAGGCCCCACTCGAGACCTTCTGAGTTGGGCTCTCCAGGGTGGGAACCTCCTGTTCTTATCCTCCCTCCAAGAGGCAGTTAGGCAAAATCATAAGAAGAACATATCAAACTCAGAAGCTCTGAGTTTGCAATGACAGCTCTGGGTTTGATCTGAGGAGTCACTAATATCTGCTTGGCTTAACTATCAGTGTGTCTTTGAGGTTTGAATGGCACCATGCATGTAAAAGTGCTATGTAATAGGCGGTATAATTCGAAGAGATTATCATTTTTATTATGGTTCCTGATTTCCTCCATGAAAACTTAGCTGTCATACCCATGTGTCTTAGTTTCTAGTGCCGCTATAACAGAAATATCACTAGGGGATGGTTTTAACAAAGAGAAATTTATTCTCTCACAGTCTAAGAGGCTAGAAGTCTGAATTCAGGGTACCAGCTCCAGGGGAAGGCTTTCTGTCTCTATCGGCTCTGGGGAAAGGTCCTTGTCATCAATCTTCCCCTGGTCTAGGAGCTTCTCAGCGCAGGGATCCCCAATCCAAGGGACACGTGCTCCTGGCTCTACTCACTTGGTGTTATGAGGTCCCATTGTCTCTCTCCCTGCTTCCCTCTTTTATATCTCAAAAGAAGTTGATTTAAGGCACAACCTAATCTTGTAGATTGAGTCCTGCCACTAATCCCAGTTCATTAACATAGAGGTAGGATTTTCAACACATAGGAAAATCACATCAGATGACAAAATGGTGGACAATCACACAATACTGGGAATCATGGGACTAGCCAAGGTGAAACACATGTTTTGGGGGGACACAATCCAATCCATCACAATAGGTCATCATATTCTTTCTTCCTAAGAAGTGATGCAGCTTTTAGCTGGTTACAGTGATTCTCAACCCTGTCTGCACATTAGAATCACATTAGAACTTTTAAACTATACTGACGTACCAGGCTCCAGACCCTTAGATTCTGATTCATTTGGTCTGAGTGGGGCCCAGTCATCAGTATTTTTTAAAGTTCCCCTCCCTCCTCCAGGAGCTTGTAATGCACAGCTAGGATTGAGAACCACTGTGATAAATGGATTCACATTCCAAAAACTAAACCCTTTGCTGTTGAGTCAATTCCAACTCACGGTGACCCTGTAGGACAGAGTAGAACTGCCCCGTAGAGTTTCCAAGGGGCGCTGGTAGATTCGAACTACCGACCTTTTGGTTAGCAGCTGAGCTCTTAACCACTGCGCCACCAGGGCTCCAAATTCACATTAATGGATACTAATACCTTACCTACAGGAGCCTTGGTGGCACAGTAGTTAAGTGCTTGGCTGCTAATCGAAAGGTCAACGGTTTGAACCCCCTAGCGACTCTGCAGGAGAAAGATGTGGCAGTCTGCTTCCGTAAAGATTTACAGCCTTGGAAACCCTATGAGGCAGTTTTACTGTTTCTGTAGGGTCACTATGAGTCAGAATCAACTCGACAGCAATGGGTAATACCTTATCTACTCCTACCTAAGATGTCTGCATGATGAGCATGATTTTGTGTAAGCATAATGCCTCACTCATTAATCAATGGCTTAAATATTTCTTGAGCACCTACTATGTGGCACTGAGGGTACGAAGACTAACAAGACAGGTCCCTTCTAGGACCCCTATAATTATATGCAATAGTGTGTGTGTGTGTGTATGTGTTTGCAACATTTTTGTGGGGAAGAAGTCCACATCTTTCTTCAATTACTCAATGACATTGGTGACTACCCCAAAAAGGTTAAGAATCATGGCTCTGGAGGAATACTGCACTCTCTCCCTTTCTGGTAGTTTAGAAGTAAAACTCAGACATACTGTATTCTGCCCTTTACACTGCCAAGAAGACTAAGGGTAATTCCAAATGTCAGTTAAAAGCATTATTATAGTTGCCTTCTTTAGTCTTCTTGGTCGTTTATAACACAGGACCAGCTTTGTACTCCCTTTAAAGTGTTTTCACGTAAATGGTTTATTTCCCATTGTCATTTATTCCTTTCACTGAACATCCTGATTTTCTTTTGGACCATACAACGAGACCACATTTAAGTCTATAGAATTTTGAAATAATAAAAACTCCATATTTGGCCCAGATAACCAAAGCAGTAAAGATTTGAAATACCAGACTTTTAAAATAAACCAAATTTGACTTCGGCTCCTATTTTTCAGGTCCCTTGGTACCTGGTGGTCCTCTCCAATGCACTCACTGTCCTTTTTCACTCTATTCCATCCAACAAGAAATTTCACTGCTTGGCTATACCTGGGCCTCCAACACTGAGCAGTACCCCTGTCCCCATCACAATCTCCCTATTTGGCATCCCAGTCTGACAGGGGTATGTTCTTGCCTGTCTGTTATGACCCCAGCTGATCAGAAGTCTACACAGGTGTCTTTCTCTCTCTCTCTTTCTCTGTGCCTCATTTCCCTTCCTCAACACTGCAAAAGTTTAATCAACAATCCTTTATCAGTTCCTTTGGCTTCACCTACCATCCAACTCAGAAGATTGTCAGATCAATAACCCAAGTTTTGACCTCTCTCTTGAGCTCTAGGCCTACATTTCCAGCTCTACTGGGATCTCCCCACAATATCCACAATTGAACAGGCTGACACTCGAAACTTACCCTGTTCAGACTGAATCCATGATCTCTCCTTCCCTTTGTATTCCCATCTTCCCAGTAGCCCAAGCCAGAGACCTGAGCATGGTCTATGAGTATTCCTTCCTTATCACCCTTCACATCCAGTTGGCTATCAAGAACTCTCAATTCTACCTCTTTATATCTCTCATCTCTGTCTCCTCCTTCCTATCCTCACTGTATAGGCCAAGGTCCCAGCAGGAAACAGATGGCATACTTGAATGGGGCAATTGTGGAGAGACTCATAAACGGGCTATTTTCACATGTATGAGCAGGGTTTAAGGACAATTCAAGCCTAGCAACAGCAGGTTGCTATTAGTACATATGAGCCTAAAAGGGCATGGAGAGAGAGATATTACCAAGATGCAACAAAAACTGTAGTTGTAGGAGAGGCCCTCACAACAGCTATAATCTCTGGTAGAAGAAACTGTCACTACCAAGCTATAGCCCAGCAGAGAGAAAATGGGATAAATATCCCAATCTCTCTTTCCTCCCACTTCCATCTCCTTTCAGGGTCTCCCACTGGCCAAACCCAGTCAGAAGCCAAAGGGCAACGAATCCATTTCGTGCAGTCTATAGGATGTTAAAGGATAGAGAGCAGGATGTAAAATGATGGAGCATAAACCTGAAAGGGCAACTGCAGACAATTTAGCATACCCACCATCACTTCCTTAGATCAAGCTTCCACCATCTCTCACTTGAACAGTTGCAGTATTCCTACTTTGAATTCTTCCCCTCTCCAGTCTGTTCTCATATCACCACTGAGTTCTCTTTCAACAAATCACAAAATAATATAATAATGTAGCTGCTATTACACCAAAACAGTTATGATCACTGAGGTCCTTGGCTCAAAATT